ATCACTAAGAACCTTTATTTTACTTCATATCCAACTGAAAAAGCCACAAAATAAAAATATTTTCAATTCATAAAACTTTTACATCAATGACACTGACCAACAGAGAGAAAAGTGAAATCCCTGAGGAACTGCCAACAATAAATAAAATACTTAAAAACAGAATGTTCTGAGTTTGAAGGAAAATTTCCTGAGCCTGCTCAATTTGGGGAAGCCAATGGCCCTTTGCAAACTTCAGTTTCTCAAAAGGATATCCAACTGATGCAAGTTTCCTGTCATGAGAAGAAGCTGCCCCTTTCAGTAACACCTTACATTAAATGGGGGGAAATAATCAATCTTGTTTACATCAATTTATGCATAGTTCTGAGAAATCTATTGCACTGGCAGGAGAAGAAAATACATGCTCTTGGTGACAACAGAATTTTACAACATACCGAGTAAGTAGCAGTGCTAGTTTAATTTGTTATTCACCACAATGTACTGTTTTCTCATGGTGTGTGGATATTACACAAAAGGGATGTAAGTCTCCCCACTCTTTGTGGGTAACAAAAGGAAGACTCAAATACCTGTGGAAGGGTAAGATCAACACTTTTAAAAATTCCAGAAAGATTCTCTGTGAAGAAGACCCGGGATGGAGGACTAGCATTGGAGCGCTAAACTTCCTTTTAGGAATGGAGTCAAGATATCCTGTTGCACGGATTCTAGGATGTGTTTTTTTCCCAACACTTTCGCAAATCAAATTCAAATGGGCGTGGCCATTAACTGTCACAAATTAATGGTCAACTCCTCCACCTAACTTTCTCAGTGGTACATAAAATAATGGCATGCTCTACAATCAACGGCTTCTTAGATTAATTCAATATGGCGCTCTGTACTTCAGCACACACAGTGAGTCATACAAAAATAAATCTGACATTTAAACCCTGGTAATTTTCCCAATTGAAAAGACACTGGCAAAAACATTTGGCGTCTGAAATTTCAACACTAGCACCATAGGCTCAGGAAGGATTAGTTCGAATGGTGATGTGGGATAAGCTTACACTCCAGTTTTGGTTCTGTCCCTAATCAGTAAGGAAGTGGATTTCACACTGCTGGGCCTCATTTCCTCATCTGTAAAATGAGAAAGTAGAAACAGATGGCCTCTCAGTCCTCCAGCCAAAAAGGAAGGGGATTTAAAATTCCGCGCCACTCAGGACGTGTGTGGCTGTGGAATGTTCCACAGACACGATGCCCCCAAAGCCAAGATGTTCCTACAGGCTGATGGCTTGGACCCCTCTGCAGCCACCTCTCCCCCAACAAGAAGAGTCAAGGCTCCAAATCCAGAGAGTTTCCTGGATCCAGGAGATAACGTAATTCGTTCACAACGTTGGTAACTGACAGGAAAAGGGCAATTCTTCAGTCTGGGGCAATCTGTAAACTTCTTTTAAAAATTTCAGAACTTTCCTAACCTCAGTTGATCTAAATGTCTGCAATCAATATAAAATACCAAAACATGACAGCAAGGTCTCACTTCAAAGTTTCATGACTGACACAGCTTGGCTACAGATGCTACTGCTCTGAGTGTTTCCTCCCACGTCCTAGAATCACCAGCCGGAAAAGGAGTTGTTTTCTGAAAGAAAATAACAGAGACATTTCATTTGAATGAACCATTCACATCAGCTCCTCACTCCCACCTTGATATATTATCTTTTGAGAATATGTCTGGTTGGCCAAAGAAAGCAAATGGTGAGGAATAAGTATTAAAAGAGATGAAAAACTTGGGGTGACTGGGTGGTTCAATCAGTTAAGCAGCCAACTCTTGATTTTGGCTCGGGTCATGATCTCAGGGTCCTGGGATCAAGCCTGGTGTTGGGCTCCCCACTCAACAGGAGTTGCTGGAGATGCTCTCCCTCTCCCACTGCTCCTCCCCACCTCTCATAGATCACACATTCTCTCTCTCTCTATCTCTCTCTATCTCTCTCTGTCAAATAAATAAATAAAATCTTTTTTTTTAAATTTATTTATTTGAGGGAGAGAGAGAGAGAGCACAAGCAGGGGGAGCAGCAGAGGGAGAAGCAGTCTCTCCGCTGAGCAAGGAGCCCAATGTGGGGCTAGATCCCAGGACCCTAGGATCATGACCTGAGCCAAAGGCAAACGCTTAACTGACTGAGCCACCCAGGCACCCCTCAAAGAAATAATTTTTTTAGAAAGCGACGAAAAATGGGTTGTGACAACACCAGCATTGCTTTCTGGTAAATAATACATGTATTTATATTTTTTGATACACAAGTTATAATCTGTCTTTACCTAAACATGTTACAACTAAAAACAGGTACAGTAGCTAGCATCAATGACACCACACAAACCACAAATTCCTACACCTTCCTATTTCATTTCCAAAGGCTCAAACTCTTTTAAGTGTTGTGATAAAATGCTTGGCTAAGTTATTAACTAAGATAGACTTCCTTCCTTCTTCCTTTGTAAGAGACAAAATACTCTTTGACTCTGTCAGTAGTACACACCTACGCTGAGTGCCTGCGCATTGAGCTGGAGCACACCAGTGAACCCGAGGAAGTGACAGAGCTCACATGTGTTGGCCTTAGTATCTTGCATCCAAACAGCAGATTCTTCAGCTCTGAGGAACTAGAGTTCCCAGGTCAAAGGTTACCATTAAGCAACTAGAATACATGCTTTATGCAAGTAGGTGAGGGTAGGAAAGGAAGAGGTTAAGAAAACAAAAACATTGTAAGTGTATAAGCCTGATGATTCACAGACCTGTACCCCTGGGGCAAATAATACATTATATGTTAATAAAAATAATTAATTTTTTAAAAATAAAAAAACAACAACAATGAAACAAACTCTTGGAGCTGCCAATGACCATGGGCAGCCCATCATCAACATGGTGTTCCAGAGGGTGGGAATCCCAAGTCACTGATTCCCTATGTCCCTCTCTACCTCTAGTATGGGCCGTGCCTCTTTCCATGAGAGAAAGGAACCTTACAAAATGAAGAAATGATGACCAGGTGTAGACTCCAATTGCTTGTAAGTCAGAAAGTTATGCATAGTCAGAGGCTGGGTATTTTAGGTCTTTGATTTCCATCATCTTTCACAGAAAAGTTGCTTAGATATTAAAGACATTTATTAAGCAATTTAAGGACTCTTGTTTAAATATAAATACATACTAGCTAATTATTTCTATGTAACCAAAACAACATGGCTTCTGTCCTATCTAGATAATGGGCTGTAAGTCACAAAGCAGGTGTTTTCAGAGGACTAAAGACAAGCAATGTTTGGCGTGCTCACTTCACAAATTTTTCAGTGCTACACTGTTGGTGGAAATGCAAGCTGGTACAGCCACTCTGGAAAACAGCATGGAGGTTCCTCAAAAAGTTGAAAATAGAGATACCCTATGACCCAGCAATTGCACTACTAGGTATTTACCCTAAATATACAAATGTAGGGATCTGAAGGGGCACCTGCACACCAATGTTTGTAGCACCAATGTCCACAATAGCTAAACTATGGAAAAAGCCCAGATGTCCATCAACAGATAAATAGATAAAGACGATGTGGTCTATATATACAATGGAATATTACTCAGCTGTCAAAAATGAAATCTTGCCATTTGTGATGATGTGGATGGAGCTAGAGGGTATTATGCTAAGTGAAATAAGTCAATCAGAGAAAGACAATTATCATATGATCTCACTCACATGTGGAATTTAAGAAACAAAACAGAGGATCATGGGGGAAGAGAGGAAAAAATAGAGCAAGACAAAATCAGAGAGGGAGATGAACCAGAAGAAACTCTTCATCATGGGAAACAAGCTGAGGGTTGCTGGAAGGGATAGGGATGGAGGGGTGACTGGGTGATGGGCATTAAGGAGGGCATGTGATATAATGAGCACTGAGTATTATAGAAGACTACGAATCACTGACCTCTACCTCTGAAACTAATACTATATTACATGTTAACTTAAATTAAAAAAAGTTTTTAAGAACTTTTCGGTGCTATAAAACACTGAAGGAAAGCCATCACAGAGCACTATTCAAACCTGTTCCATTTCCTAAGTGACAGTAGCACCAAACCGGGGAGGATGGGAGAGAGGCTGGTCCAGTTCCTGCAGCCTACCCCCACTCCTGGCACTCCCGGGAACACAATCAGGAATGTGCCAGAAGGTCAACTCTTCAAAAACAGTTTTTTATTAAAGAAGTAATAAAGTTTCATTGCAGACAAACTGGAAAACATAAGTAAAGACAAAGAAAAACTAGTACTAGTTTGGGAATATATCTTTTTGAGACTTTTCTTTGCTCATACATACATACGCTGTCATACCCTAAGATATGCCCATTTGGGCTAAAACAGTTATACTTTATAGAGTTTTATATAGTACTCTTTTGGTTTCAGAGGCATTCCTTCACATTTGTGTAGACTGAGATAGCTCGGGACATGTTGCAAGTGTCTGAGAACCAAAGACAGAGCGCCATCTTTGCAGCAACGGCTGGCTCTGTAGTTCAGCTCTAGGAATCCCCGTAGTTTGCTAGTTCGGAGCAGTAATAATCTGAGACAAGATGACTCTCTTAATGCCCTTGTGTAATGGTGAGTGTGACAGTGTTTGCCTCATTTTCACTGACTTCTTTTTACTTGACTTTCTCCCCTATTAGAAATGGGGGCATACACTATTACTTTTAAACAGTGAATATCACGTGTGTTTTGTTTGTGATCCTTGCCTTGAGCGTAAGTGTGTTATAGCCACAAAGAGCTTAACAGGAGCAGAAAACGAGCTACAGAATAATTAGGGAAGGGTGAATCTCTTCGTTCAAATACGCATGGCGTGGGCTCCAGTCCCCTTGCTGTATGGAATCCAGACTGGCCATCCTGCAGAACCCCATGCACCAGAGGGCCAGCCTGAGACAAGGCCTTGCTGCTTGCAGTGGTGTTGTAAAGGAGCTTCCAAGACTCACAAACACACTCACCAGTCTAAATGCAACTTGATTATGTAAACATTAAAGGTTCTTACCATTGATGTTACTGGTAGATCAGACTGTAGTCATTAACCAAAGAATAATCTTGATCATCTGTAGAAGGCAGAACAGAGCAACATTAAGTTCATCTTGTTTCACGATAAGATCTTAATCCTTCTGGAATCAAAACATTCCAGTTAAATATTCTAGTGACTGTCCTTTTATAAAAAGAAAACATCTGGTGACAAATCCTACAAATGGCAGGCATGACTATAAACCAGAGGATTCACTTACACATTCTGGAAATCACTGCTATGATTTCATTGCCCTTTTGCATCCATGTGCAGAGAGCAGCACCTAGAGTGAAGTCATCTTCAAACATAGGCATAAATAAGTCCCATGTTATCTGGTGGTAATTGTTTTACAAAAATAACTTAATTTTTTTTTCAAAGATATATATTTTTCTCAAAGATACCTTATATTTTTCAAAGATACCATTTTTTTTTCAATTTTTTTTTTCAAAGATACCATTTCAGCCCTGGTTTTCTTTTCAGTCACTGAAGTTCTACTAAGCTCCCATATGCAGCAGGAGTTGTCTCTTCCCTCAGTCCCTTGAACACAGGTAGGTATATCTTCTTTTACTCAAATAATAGATATTTGTTGAGCATCTCCTATGTGCCCATAGCACTATTAGGTGCTATGAGCGATACAGGAGAAAAATCAAGTGTCACCCTCAAGGGCCTTATAATTATCCAAGGAATAAAACTAACCCAAAAAAATGCTATCATGTGTGGTTGTCTCAGAGTTATCATAGGACTTCTGGATGAAAAAGACCAGAGTGATTAGTGAAAGACCCAGTTACGGTCAGTACCCAAATATATAATATCAGGTTATATGTTTCTAGACATCTATGCCTTCTATCAGGTATGTTTCTGGGTAATCCAAAGGAAACTATATCTCACTTTGCTCTTTTTATGGTTCAAATTCAAATAATCTCTTACATATGACTGCCTTATGTTTCTTTTGATACTCCCAAGAGTGGACTTCTCTTTGGTAAGCTATAAAGTAAACCACCAATTACCAAAGTCCACTCTGTGATAAATAGTGTTATATTAAGATCCTAATATAGGTTCATTCTCTTGAGAATTTGATTCTATTTATTCCCTTCTTTCCCTTTATTTCAGCATTCTAACTACTCAACCTCAGAGAGAACATGATGGGGCACATGATGGGGCACCTGGCTCAGTCGGTTAAGCAACTGACTTCAGCTGAAGTCATGATCTCAGGATCCTGGGATCGAGCCCTATGTGGAACTCTACACTCAGCGGGCAGCCTGCTTCTCCTTCTGCCCCTGCTCATGCATGCTCTCTCTCAAATAAATAAAATCTTTAGGGAAAAAAAAAGAGAGAGAGAGAGAAAACATGACATAAGCATTTAAAAGATCTTTCTTGGTGTCATACCTGGTGTACTTCTAGGAACTGGGAGAGGTCCTCTCCTGTAGGAAATGAAAACCAAAGTCTTTCAGATGAGTTCTTATTATTTTTCTAATTCTTAACTTCACACCACAAGCATACAGCCCTCTAATCAGATCTGGTTTCTGTTCTGGATAATCAAGGAGAGTTCAGATGAAGGAAAATGCCTACACCACCACCGACCCCCACTGGAATCTAGGCTGCCGACATTCTATTATGCTGCGGGCAGGATGTACAGGGCCCTGCCCCCACACCCCAGACCGAAAGGAGGAAAATCTCTGCTGTGAGCGTGTGGTTTCCTGACCTCTGGGTACCTCAGCATGTCCACATGTAAGATGGAAAATACAAGCAGCTGCCCCCTCACCGTGAGAATGAAGTGAGCTGATTCCCATGAACTGTTCTGAACAGAGCCTGGTATTCTCAAGTATTGATGAGTGCCTGGCAATGCCCCCTCCAATATTCCCTTCACTTTTTAAAAATGGAAATTAGCAGCCTCGATGTGAAACTGACTGTGTGAAACAGAAGTTTCTCTTCTGTCAGTATCCTTTATAGCTGGGGCAGCAGACTCGTTCTGCAAAGGGCCAGACAGTAAATGACTTAGGCTTTGTTGGCCATGAGGACAACCTTGTTAGAACTCTGTCAACTCAAATGCAAACCCAGTTGTGGACAAAATGTAAACAAATGTGCGTGGTCGGGTTCCAATAAAACTTTATATGAGCACTGACATCCGTACTTTGTGTAATTTTCACATGTCACAAAACAGTATCCTTTTCTCCTTTTTCAGCCATTTAAAAATGTAAAAACTACTCTTTACTCTTGGGCCCTACCAATAGAGGTTGGTCAGAGTTGACTCACAGGGGGCCAGAGCCTGCTGACGCTTGCTTTCCACAAGATATAAAAAAGATAGGATTTGTATGTGAGTAACAATAATCACACTCAAGCGTAATACAGCCCTCTTTAAACTATGACTGGTAAAATCCACTGAGCTTTTGTCCTAAAAATGCTACCTGCCCAAATCTAGCAACCTCACTAAGCAAATGCAGTGGTAGACGTGTTCCAGTTCTAATACCGCTTAGAACACTGATGATAACAACATTTATTAAAGGTATTTTTCTTCATGTGAAAGGTAGCTGCTTATTACCTTGCTAAGTTAGGCCCCAGGGCCTTTCCCTGTGAGGCTGTATTCTTCTGGGGGCAGTAGAAATTCTCGTACATGATGGGTGCTAGGGGAACCAAGAAACAAAATATTAAGGTGCTGGTGTCTTCCATTCTCCACACGTGATGCAGAAGACTCATAGAAATGCTGAAGTAACCCCACAGCCCGACCGCTTCAGTCACCTGGTGGGACCTGTCCGGTTTTCCGGTGGTTCACAAAAAATGCAATGTCCTTCTCAATGCTGCATGCTTCCAAGCTCTTACGAACTTCTTCATACATCTAACAAAAAGAAGATAAATCAGGACACCTGGGTGGCTCTGTCAGTTAAGCATGTGCCTTAAGCTCGGGTCATGATCCCAAAGTTCTGGGATGGAGTCCTGCATTGGCCTCCTGCTCAGTGGGGAGTCTGTTCCCTCTCCATCTACCCCTCCCCCCTGCTGTGCACTCTGTCTTTCTCTGACAAATAATTAAACAAAATCTTAAAAAAAAAAAAGATAAATCAACCTAGAGGTAGGTCAGTGAAAATTATGATACAGTTTATTAAAACAGGTTTGATGAATGGCTAGATCTCCCAAATTTTGTTTTAAAAAAGAAAAAGAGACATCCCCAAGTCTCTTTTTATATCACTCATATATAGGGATTTCTCTGATACATATCCAGTGTTAAAATTGTTTTAAAGATGGTGAGAAATGTATCTCTGTGGCAGCGTAAAAACCTTGCCAGGAAGAGGGCTTTTTAAAAAAAAGTACCAATGGCCAAAAGAAATAGATACCAAAACTAATGCCACACACAAATGCAAAGACAATGCACTAACTTGGAAGAAGTTCTAATCAATTCTATAGGTCTCCTAGGTGTTTAGCTGTTCTTCTAAAGTGACTGTCCCATCTAAGTGAGGGTGGCTATTTCTTAGCAAAGAAGGTCGTGATAATTTGAATTCTAATCCCTCCGAGGTTTGAGAATCCCATAAGGATTGCTGTGCCCAAGGTAAACCTGGGCATTGACCCTGGGAATACTGTTGAAGTAAATCTTGAGCCCTGGCGTCATCATTAGCCTGGGCAAGTGTCAATGGGCTAGCACTTGGACCTGTCTTGGAGTGACACTCTGGGACTCACAGTCATGCTGTGACTTCTCTGTCATCCATAAATTAAACCGCATTTGGGGGCACCTGGGTGGCTCAGTTGATTAAGTGCCTTTGGCTCAGGTCATGATCTCAGGGTCCTGGGCAGGGAGCCCGCCTCCCCCGGCCCTCTACCCCTCTTCCTGCTTGTGCACACTCTGTCTCTTTCTCTCAAATAAATAAATAAAAATCTTTAAAAAAAAAAAACCCTGCATTTGGGTCTCCCTTCTCTGATCCCTGCCCTAACTCTGAATTCCTTCAAGAGAAAGTCATGGTAGCAAAGCAAAGGGGTCAGGCAGTTCGGTGTTTACTTGGGCCTATCAGCTCACTGTGTGGCCTTGGGCAAGTCACTGTACCTCTCTCAAATGAAAGGGTAGACTAATAAATGTCTATGGTCCCTTCCACTCTAATGACTCCTCCGTGGACACCTTTGACTTACGTCATCGCTTGTGACACACTGTTGTGACAGCTGATTCATGTGTAACCACAACGCGTTCCGAAAGAAGTTTATTCGTTCACATTCTTGAGCTTCAAACATCTATGGAAACATAACTACATGTCCAGACATAGGCAGAGAAAGAGGACATTTGTCTAGACTGACTATGACTTAAGAAAGAGTATCAACCCTCATTATCTGTAAGATTACTGCCCCATTTAGGATATTACCCTCACCACCAAGGAAACTCATCAACTCTTATCGCAGGCAAAGAAGCAAATGGTATTATCATATGGTATTAGCACAAGCAGGATCAGATATAATTCTGAAGGTAAGAGGTAATGAGGAACCCAGAGAGCAAGGTTCTAACCTGAATTCCAGCTCACATTTCCAACTGCCTAATGGGTATCTCCACCTGACAACTTGCCAGAGCCTCCGATTCAAACCTTTTCCCTATCCCTATGACGGAATTCACATGGCAAGACGGTCACAATTGTTGAAGCCGGTTCATGAGAACATAGAAGATCTTGCACTTGCCTTCTATCTCTGCATATTTTTGAAAATTTCTTTAACAAAAAAGTTCTTTAGAAAAGTCCCTCCTTGAACAATAGTGGGGGTTTTTTTGGATATAAACAAATACCAACTTTTGGGAAAAGTGGGATATAAACAAATATCAACTTTTGGAAAAAGCTATTATTCTAGAAAGTGGATGCTATTTGATTCATCAGGGAATATTCTATGTTAATGTATTTTTTAATGTTGAATGCAACACTATTACATTTTGAAAGTTTTTATAACGTAAATCTTCACACATCCACAAGAGAGAATGGTCTAATGAATGCCCATGTACCCATCACCAGCTTAAACATTTATCAACTCACACCCAATTCGTTTTATTATATGCCCACCAACTCAACTACTCCCCAGAGTATTTTGAAGCAAATACATTATTTCACCTGCAAACCTTTTAGGATTTATATGTAGTGTATATTTTAGGTTTTATTTATTATTTAGTATTTATTTAGTATACTTAGCATATTAGTATTTTTTTATTTATGTAGCATGTAAATACTAAAATTTCTTATTATTTTTATTATAGAATATTGCGCATAGAAAGAATCATAGGGAGCAGTGTAACGAATACCCACATATCAACCACCTAGCTCAGTCAACAATTTTGGTCATATTTGCCTCTGATTCTGTTGAAGGCCCTTGTGTGCTTTCCCCAGGCTCCATCACCTTCTCCTTCCCCACAGAAAACCATTCTCCTAAATTTTATCATTCCCATGCAGGCTTTTTAAAATATGTATGTGTCCATAAAATGTATATGATATTCCTTTGCATTTTTTTTTAAACCTTAAAAAAGGGGCCTTAGTCTAGGCTTTTCCGTGAGAGTGCGGAATCAAGGGCGTAAAACAAAAGAGTGTTTTGGGAGGGGGATAGTGACCCGCAGTACTAGAGAGTAGATATAAATCAAATAAGATCAGGAAGTGCAAAAGCCCGCTGGATCTCACACCATGGAGACCTCCAGTTCCTCAAGCAAGCAGCCCTGAGCGGAGAGGGGTGGGCAGCGGGGGATCCCCAGACACAGCAGGCTGGGAAAGGCAAAGGGCAATGAGGATGTAAAGACAACTCCTTCAAGAAGCCCGGCTATGAAGAGAGGAGAAGGTAGCAGACCGGACACAACAGCCAGTAGGTTCTAAAACCAAGAATGAGTGGAGTTATGCGGATGACAAGAGCAGAAGTTCACACTAAAGGCTGTGCACAGGCACGAGGGAAGGACAGCAGGATGATGGCATCTTGAGCCCGGCTGTCGGGACAGGCTCTTGATAGGGCAGAGGTAGCCCCTTTTCAACGGACAGGAGAAAAGGAAGGGAGGAGGATGGAGATCAGTAGTTCTCAGGCTCGAATTTGCATAAGAATCACCTGAGGACTTAGTAACACAAGGCTGAGCCCGCTCCAACAGTTTCTGTTCAGTAGGTCTGAGCATCTGCATCTCTAACAGACTCCCAGGGGATGCTGAAGCTATGAATCCTGGGACTTCACTTTGAGAACCACTAGTAAGAAAAAGATTATGTCTTTATTTTCTCTGCGAAATTGTGAGGTCATGTGCTAAAAACGAAGCAGGGGTTATGATGAAATCATTAGGTGTAGAAACTTCTGAAGCCTGCTCGCCTCCTGCCTGAGGTCTCTTTATCCCACAGCAGGTTCAGGTGAGGCTCTGGAAAGATAATGACGTCATCACCACTCCCCTGACTCAGCTATGGCGCGTCTGGGCTAACCGAACACGAGAGGAGGTGCTGGGGCAGCATCTGACACAACGGTCAGGGCTGGGACACGGGAGAAAGACGAGGTCTGGGGGAAAACCCTCCGGCTCCTTCCCTCCTCCACTGAGATTTCTTGATTTCTAATTTGCCCTCAAGCAATTCTATGAGACTTGGGGTCCTCTAATAAAGGGAGGGTGTGTTTCTGCCAGGGCGGACTCCCCAGCTTCTGGGAGGAAAACCCACCCCCTCCCAAGCAGCTGCCCGTTCAGTACCTCGCAGGCCTTGATGTGCTCGCTCTGCCAGTCTTCGCGGATCTTGTCCAGGGTGCTGACGTGCATCATGTATGTCTTGTCTGCAATGCAGGGGAGGGGCCTGGCTTCAGAAAATGGACGGGACCAGGCTGTCCTGCCCCAATGGAGTAGCACTGAGCTCTCAAGGACCCGGGAGCTCTGAACCCTGGAAGGCCACGTCCATCTCTCCCTCTCGTAATATCTTTATGAATCAAGTACTTTCTTTTTAGACATTAAACCAAGCAAATAGCAAGAAAGGGATCAAGAGAGGAGAGAGAAGCCCGGCAGGAACCTCAGCCAGGGTTCTCTTTGGCTAATTCAGACTCAATAGCTTCCTTCCCATTTTCAGGAAAATGATCCAGGGAGAGGTGTGGGGGAGAGAACTGTCGAGTTACTTTGGTTTTGGATTTAGACGCTTCCTAAGTGGCCACAGTCATGAGTGTCTTGTCTCCTGCAGGGTACTCTGGGATTAGAGAGCTTTGCAAATACCTGGTTTGGATCTCAGATTTCAGCCATGACAAGGCCTCCCAACTTGCCTATTCCCTTCATAGCAAGAGTTAGTAGGGCCGAAATTGGCTTTTAAGAGAGATGTTCCCAATGAGTAAGCACCTGATTACGAAGAAGTTGCCCCATCAACTCTCCCCCTCACCCCCGCCCTGTGCCCAACACCACCTTCTCCACCATTCAGTTACAAGTCAGGCCCAAGACCTAAGTAGGGGTGCTGGGACAGAAACTGCTGTCCCATTTGCTCCCTCTCACTTTCCCAGGTTCTGATATAGCCTCTCTCCCTCTTTCTCTCCTTCCCTCCCTCCAGATAGCTCAGTAATCCCACTGTCTGTCTATAAATGATTGTGTGGTCTATAACACTACCTTTCCAGACAGAGTCTGTGGAATGTCAGCCCCACAAAAACCCTCCCCGATCCCCGGGAGCAGCCCCTCACCCGAGTCTTCTACTGCAGTCTTCAAAGTTGCCAGTTTCACAAAAAGCTGTGAGGACAAAGGACAGAGGAGAAATGCTGGGCCAGACTTCCACAGGCCAACCAGACTTACAATGACTGCGAAGAGAACAGTGTAGCCCAGGTCTTACCTGTGTTTTTCTCAGCAAATCGTTCAACCTGCCCCCTAATCTTATCACCATTGGGCAACAACCACAGAGCATCTTGCCCTCTGTTTTCCTAAAGACATACCCCTGGCCTCTGGTTGCTGTCAATCTTCTATTCAGATTACATAAAATAGATAATAGATAATATAGCCGGGCTATAAAGGATACTTGAGTTTTGAAGAAAGATGGAAAAAAAAAAACAAGCCCCCCTCCCCAACTTCTTATCACCCCACTCCTATCCCCCGGCCACACTTCTCTATCTCTTCCCAAACCCAATAATTGTGACAAGGGGTTTTCTGGGTCAGAGGATCCTAGTGGCCCAGAGGAAGATATTGTCAGGGACGTAGGAAGCAGCTCCATTTTTAATGAAGATTATTAACTGGATCCAGTTTCAGATGCAGAAATCTCAGCTTTCTCAGGCTGCTGGCTCTCCCAAATACCTTTTCTTGTTGCTTCGGGTTTACCAGGTTGGCGCTCCGGTGGACAGCCTGCTCTGCCTCATCTTTGTCTCGGCACTTCTGCTCGTAGGTCTTCTTTGCCTTTGTCGTTAGAAGCCAAAAAAGGACCAAAACAGGTGAACAGAATGGTACCCTGCAAAGCAGCCATGCCAGCCCACTGGACCTGACAAAGCATAGGGTGCTCGGATCAGCATTGAGGTCACCACTCGATGGTGGGCACTCTGAGGGCAACACTCTATCCAATCTTTTTTTGGAAGGTTTCTCCAGCCCTTTTCCAAACTGCATGGGGTGGCAACCTGATCAAGGAAGTAATCACTCCTATTTGGCAAACACAAAGTGCGGGAGCTTCAAAAACTGACAGAAACAAAAGATGGGTTTTGAAATAGGCAAAATCAAGGTAGGTATGTAACCATAAGGTGTGAAATCGAGCAAATATGTAACCCAAGCCTCGGAACTTAGATGCAATCACTTGGCTGTGGTAATCATAATTATGCCTCAGTATCCCAAGGTGCCCTCCCTAGCAAGTGACAGAGGGGAGGGCACCAATCCCATCGATTCTGGCCCGTAGGCATAGCCATGTTCCTTTTTGATTTAAAGAACCATTTTAGCTAGTCTGAAAGTAGGCCATGGTCTATCGTGGGCCATTATTACTACCATGAGTGTAAAAACGGTTCTCAAACTATAGCTAGTGAATCAGAGCATTTTCTGTTTCAACTACTAAAGCAAAGTCTTAACTTTGAACAAATAAAGCTGCAAATCAGCTAATAAAAATGTTGACCCCCCAAAACCGCTCGACTAAGAACAAAGACTCCTTTGCAGGGATGGTCTGTGCTCATCAAACATCGCACGTGTCTTCTTGCATTTCTTGGAGGCTTCTGCAATTCGGCTGGGGCTGACCTTTCAGTAAACAGACGTATCATTCTCTGTACATGCTACACACACAGAGAAATGCCCTAATCGTTTGTAATTACAAGCGCATGAGATATTCATGCAATAATTTTCCTTTGTAACAATATGTGAGACATTTCTCTATTATCAAGCATGAGCCCTGTAGCCGAACACTTAAATGGTTGTAAATACACACACACACACACACACACACACACCACAATTTTAACTATTTCTCTATTGGTGGACATTTATCTTCTTTCATGTTTTTATAACATAAAAATATGCTGATTTTATTTTGGCTGGTATGAATTTATCTACACAGGTCAAATTCCTAGAAGTGTAATTGTTTGGTAAAAGAGTATGTATATGACCAAATTCCTTCCAAAATGACCCCACCAACTGAAACTCCCACCAGCAGCATATGGAGTAAATTTCCTCACTCTCACCAACACCAAGCTTAGACAATATGCCTGACCTTTTCTAATATTAGAGAGAGAGTGACAAACACATTTAAAATAAATGAAAAAAAAATAGATGGTCTCGGCAAAGAAATAGAAAAGCACAGCAAAGGCAGAGAAGATCAAAGAAGAACCAAATGGTGGGGCACCTGGGTGGCTCAGTCAGTTAAGCACCTGACTTTGTCTCAGGTCATGATCTTGGGTCCTGAGGCCCACTGGGCTCCCTGCTCAGCAGAGTCTGATTGTCCTTCTCCCTCTGCCCCTCCTTCTGCTTCTGCTTTCTCTCTCAAATAAATAAATAAAATTTTTAAAAAATAAATAAAAAAAAAAGAACTGGGGCACCTGGGTGGCTCAGTGGGTTAAGCCTCTGCCTTCAGCTCAGGTCATGATCTCCTGGGATCGAGTCCCGCATCGGGCTCTCTGCTCAGAAGAGAGCCTGCTTCCTCCTCTCTCTCTCTCTCTCTGCCTACTTGTGATCTCTCTGTCAAGTAAATAAACAAAATCTTAAAAAAAAAAAAAAGAAGAAGAACTGAACAGAAATTTTAGAACTAAAAAAACACACTAATGGAGATTTAAAAAACTCAATGGATGAGCTTAAGAATGGAAGAGACAGGGGTGCCTGGGTGGCTCAGTGGGTTAAGCCTCTGCCTTTGGCTCAGGTCATGATCTCAGGGTCCTGGGATGCAGCCTTGCATCAGGCTCTCTGCTCATCAGGGAGCCTGCTTCCCACCCCCCCCCCACCGTCTGCCCCTCTGCCTACTTGTGATCTCTCTGTCAAATAAACAAATAAAATATCTAAGAGTCAGTAAAGTGGAGGATAGAACAATAGAAATTACCTAATCTGAACAACAGAAAAATAGAGCCTCGTGGACCTTTGGCACCGTAACAGAAGATCTAACGCTCATATCCTTGCAACCCGAAAAGAGGAAGGTGGGCTGTGAAAGCACTTGGAGAAATAAATAGCTGAAAACTTCTGAAATTTGGCGGATGTAAACTCATGGATTCAAGTAGTTAATCAAACCCCAAACAAAATAAGCCCAAAGAAATCCATGTCAAAAACATATAGGTGAACTTCTGAAAACTTAAAAAAAAAAAAAAAAAGAAAGAAAGAAAGAAAGAAAGAAAGACACCTTATCTATAAGGGAAAACCAATTCGAATTACAGCAGCTTTCTTATCAGAAACCACAGAGGCCACAAGAGAGTGGCCCATTTTCAAATACTGATAGAAAAGAACCATCAACACACAATCCTATATCCAGTGAAAATAGCCTTTAACACTGAAGGGGGAATCAAGACATTCTCAGATGGGGTGCCTGGGTGGCTCAGTGGGTTAAGCCTCTGCCTTCAGCTCAGGTCATGATCTCGGGATCCTGGGATTGAGCCCTGCATCAGGCTCTCTGCTCAGTGGGGAGCCTGCTTCCTCCTCTCTTTCTGCCTGCCTCTCTGCCTACTTGTGATCTTTCTCTTTGTCAAATAAATAAATAAAATCTTTCAAAAAAAAAAAAAGAAATTCTCAGATGAAGAAAAACTCAGAGTATTTGTTGCTAGCAGACTGTTCTGTAGAATGGCTAAAGGAAGTTCTCTGGGGGCACTTGGCTGGCTCAGTTGGCAGAACATGTGCCACTTGATCTCAGGGCATGAGTTCAAGCCCCACACTGGGAGTGGAGCCTACTTAAAAAAGAAGTTCTCTAAGCAAAAGGAAACTATAAAAGAAGAAACCTTGGAACACCAAGAGGAAAAAAGGACACACTCAGCAAAAAAAAAAAAAAAAAAAAAGAGAGAGAGAGCAAATACAATAGTCTTCCTTTTTCTTGAGTTTTCTAAATCATTTTTGACAGTTGAAGCAAAAGTTTTAACACTGATATGGCTCTCCGTGTAGGTAGAAGACAGAGTTGAGAAACGTGTATTTCACTAAGGCTTTCTCTTCAATTGTAAGAAAGCTCACCCCAGACCACTCAAAACATAAAAGTGCTGGGAACGATGATTTATGGTCCATCGCCATTTCTGGAATTACACTAACATCACTTCTTATTCATCAGTGGCGTTTGAGGTGGTGTGTATCCCGGGAAACACTGATGCAGAACAGGGTACCTGGATGGCTCAGTCGCTTAAGCATCTGCCTTTGGCTTCCAGGGTCCTGGGATCCAGCCCCAAGTCAGGCTCCCTGCTCAGTGGGGAGCCTCTTCTCCCTCACTCTCTCCTTCTGCCCTTCTCCCTGCTTGTGATCTCTCTCTTTCTCAAATAGATGAAATCTTTTTTTTTAAAGATTTTATTTATTTATTTGACAGACAGAGATCACAAGTAGGCAGAGAGGCAGGCAGAGAGAGAAGAAGGGAAGCAGGCTCCCCGCTGAGCAGAGAGCCCGATGTGGGGCTCGATCCCAGGACGCTGGAATCATGACCTGAGCCGAAGGCAGAGGCTTTAACCCACTGAGCCACCCAGGCACCCCTCAAATAGATAAAATCTTAAAAAAAAAAAAAGAAGAATGATGCAGAACAAACCACACATGCCACCAACATTGGTGACATTTTCTTTTGTAACTGGGTTACCAGACAGCATGTCACCATCTGAGAATATAATGATGTTTCAAAGGCATCACAGATGGTTCAAAACCAGAGTTCACTGTCCCAATTGAACAGACTCACAAAAGCTAGAGGGAGGGTGCTAGCAATCTGTCTTAGCTCTGTCTCGTTAAGTGTTTTTTTTTTTAAATAAATTATTTAAGGAAGGCTTTTACAGTTTTCAGATCTTGAAACAGGAAGGAGTCACTCAGTAAAATAGGTAAGAAATCCATATTCAAAACAGTCACAGAGAAAAAGCTCAAATCCAACAAGACAAATGGCATCATGGGGTATAGATGCTTTTGTGTCTTGGCCTGAAATATTTAAATGACCTTCCCAGGTTACCAGAAAGGCACTATTATTTTGCTTCCTCTATCTAGTTTCATCCTCAGTCTTTCCAAGGCCTGAAAAAGAAGGAAAGTCAAACTTCTAAAGGTTGTTTTCCCAAACCACTGTACTAATTAATATTATTGAAATGTTATTTTCAGGAATATGTTTATACACAGCACAGGACTTCACAAAATGTCACCTTGCTGAAAAGGAGGCAATAAAGCGAGCCTCGGGGTTGCCTGGGTGGCATAGTCCGTTCGGCATCCAACTCCATGTTTCAGCTCAGGTCATGATCTCAGGTTTCTGGGATCGAGCCCTGGGTCATCCTCGGGCTCCGTACTCAGCAGGGAGTCTGCTGGTCCCTCTCCCTCCGCCCCTCCCCTCACCTGTGCACATTCTCTCTCTCTCTTTCAAATAAATAAAATCTTTTAAAAATCAATACATACATAAAAAATAAAGTGAGACTCACATCCATAGTTTTCTTGAACTGTAGGCTTTTTTGTTTATGGGCAGCATCCATTAAAATCTCTGTCTGTGAAGAGAGGACAAGCACTATTAATAAAAAAACAAATTACCGTTAATACCAGTTTACTGGAGGACTAAGGGTTCGATATGGACCATCTCACTTAGTCCTCACACACACTGGAAGGTCGACACACTATTTATTCCCCCCATTGCACAAGCGAGGAAACTGCAGCAGAGGCGGAAGCCCCTGCCCCTGGTCTTATGGCTGGGTCATGGTGAGGCCCGCCCTTGAACGTGGGTAGCCACCAGCCGCCTCGGAGCATCACTGATCCCTGGAGCGGTCTCCTCAGTAAATCTGGAATTAAGAAACTTAGGTTTCAAAAAGGATTTTAAAACTCTTGTTAGGGCGTCATTCCTTTTTAAAAAGGCGTCTTTGGTCGGTAAACCTATGTCAGCTTCATCAACGGCACACCCTTAACCAGCAAGGAGCCCAGGCAGAATGAAGAGAAGATATGTCTGTAGGACAGCTAAAGAAGGTGTTTTCTTTACCCTCATCTAATCTAGGAAACATAAAGTACTCTGCTGAGTTCAACTGGGAGCAATTTCTTTGTTGTGGCTGTGATGTTAACACGTTCATTGCTCAAAACAATGCAGCAAATAATAAAAATGTATGTCAGACATAACAGAAGCTCCCATTTACCTGGTAGTATCATGTGCCAAGCAGTTTCCATGCATCCCAGCAACTGCGAATACTCTTATCTCCGTTTTCTTGACATTAAACTGAGGTGGCTTAACTTACCCACGCAAGTCATGGAGTCGGGATTTGGGCACAGACTGACTCCTGTGCCCTTGTTCCTAATCATTACCTGAACCTACCACGATCCCTTACGATAGCTCTATAAAGCCAAATGGGTATATAAAAGACTAAGAGATGCAATCATTCCAAATGAGTTATGGCATTGCTCTTGTGCAAAATGGAACAATGCAAAATACTAATATTGAAAATGATATTCAAATGTGATGTCTCTTTCTTCTGGAAAGTTGAATTTTTGTCTGTTACCAACACAAATTTCAAGATATCTGAATGGAATGTCTGGCATGGTCTCACTTCAAATATAAATTTCATGTAATACATGAAATTCACCAGGCTGGGGGGTCAGGAGTGGATAAGGGGTCTTCAGAGAACAGAGGAGTCTTCTTCTAGCCCAGGAGAAATCAAGGGACCAAGAGGTGGCTATGCATCTGCTAACAGCGAAAATGCTGAAGGCCCAGAAAACAGACATGAGCCCCGCATGCAAAGACTCATGGGAAGGTCCTTGCTATCACAGACAGGAAGCTGTGTGGTTCACATGACTGCCTATGCACTTCTGCCAGGAGAAGGAACTGGGCTTATTTGTTAATGGTTTCTAATTTTCCCTGGAGCAGATCAGTTAGCGATGTTGGTCTAGTCTGCCGTCTCTGCCAGACCAAATATACACACTGCCATTCTTTCAGTTTGGGAGCTGCTACTATTTTATAGTTTATGGCCCCAGCCAGGCCTTCTTGTGTCCAGTTTGCACATAATATGTGCTTCAGGCACCACTGAGATGGCTACAAAGTCTTATTAATTACCCAGAACATTTCCGTTTCTCTTCTCTGCCTTCGAGGATGCCTGATATCTGTATCTGGACAGGACCCTAGAGAGGTAGTCTGGCTCTCACCTGACAGGTGCGCCCCTAGGGCCCAAGAGTGATATTGCTTAAGGTCATTCAGGGACACTGAGTCCAGCTCTTTGATTAAAGCCTTCTCAGGTCTGTATTCACTTACAGAGGGACCTAGTCACGGCAAGTCTTCTAAGGCCAAACCCAGTGGAAATCAAATTGCTGTGTTACTGATAACACAAAGTAGTGCCAGAACTATCACCCCTGTTCTAAGGTAGGGGAAACCGAGAGGGCAGGGGAAAGAAAGAAGAGATATATAAATGACCCAAATGACCCTATGGTAAATTATTGAAAGAGCTGTTCAGTGGTCTGTGTGTCTGTCTGTCTACATTCAGACTGTATTCAGAAAACAGGTCACTCTGTACAACCCAGGAGGTTCCTTTCTTCAGAGATGGCTTGTTACATAGGCAGAACAACATGGCGCCATGATCATCCCAGTCTTAGCTGAGACGTAGAACAGAATGTGGGCATCAAAGGAGAGCCCCTGACCATGTGCTGTCCCTTCAAGAGACAAGCTTCAAGGCCACCCCCCTAGGAGACCTGACTGGGTGGCTCAGTCAGTTAAGCAGCTGCCTCACTGATGAGGTCAGGTGTCCCCACTGTACATTCACGTGGCCTCTGCACCTTCCCTACTACTTAAGGTTCATTGTGCTTTATCATGATGACTATGTCACATCAGTCTCTAGCCATGCTCTACACTCACGGAGGGAAGGCTGACCATGTCTGTACTGTTCACCACCACAGAAATCTAGTTGTCTAAGTGAGCACACCATTAACTTCTGATCAGCCCTTCTGCCAACGCTTCCCCTTGCCCAAGTTTCTAAAACAACCCAACTGATGAGGATGCTGGGTGGCTCAGTCAGTTAAGCAGCTGCCTTTGGCTTAGGTCATGATCCCAGGGTCCTGGGGTTGAGTCCCACATCGGGCTCCCAACTTGGCAGGGAGCCTGCTTCTCCCTCTGCTTGCTGCTCTCCCTGCTTGTGCTCACTCACGCTTTCTCCCTGTCTGACAAATAAATAAATAAAATCTCAAAAAAAAAATAAAAAGAAAGAAAGAAAGAAAGAAACCAACTGATGGCTTTCCTTGATAAGTGGAAATGGCTTAGTTTCCAAAAAGTGGCAGACCAAAGCATGCAGGGTTGGGCCAGTGAAAATGGGAAGTTAGCACTGATATATTTTCTCCCAAAGTTTGATTTGAAAAAACAAATGTATCTAAATACAGAAGTGGTACAACCCAGAGTCCCTCATGACACAAGTAACTGCAAATTTATTAATAAACTTTGGACTTCCCCAAGAAAGCTCAGAAGGTCCTCTTCTGCACAAGAGAGCACATAGGATAGAGGGAATGGGGATGACAGCAGTGGCTCGAACACTGGCTCCTCTATTACGTAACAGAATTCAGAACATATTCCTTGAGCTACGAGAATGTGGCCTTCGTAACTTGTTAGGAAGGGAAGTTTCAGAAGCCTTGCAAAATGAACAGAACGCTCCCTGAAGTGACCAAGGCCACCGAAGGCACTCAGAACCATGAGGAAATGACCCTCTGCTCCTCTTCCTGGAAATCATGTATGCATAGACTCTGACTGTCTAAGGCATTCTTGCCTCTGAAAAATGGTTATTCCTCTAGGTAGGTGGGGAGGGCTGGCATTGTCAGCCAAAAACAGTGTGACTATCCAATGGGTGGGTATAATAAGCATATTATTTCTGCTCTGAAAAATATCTGAGGCCAGATGCACCTCTCAAACCTGATACATGAAGCGTGAGTATGTACGAAGCCACAGGATACGGTGTTCCTTACAAGTTAGTGTCTACCCTTCCTTCCTCACAAGAGGCACAGCTGTAAGAGCAGCTCGGGAATGACCGTAGATGAAGGCAGCCAGGGTCCAAAGGCTCACCCACTCCAAATGCCAAGTAGTCACCAAAAAAGCTGGAATTAGAATCTGACCTAGAGCCATAGGCAACGTTGCTGATGTTAGGATGTACGGGTAGAGTCGGCCTGAACCGCTGGATGTTTCATTAGATACACACACTACAGACAATGACCTTCAGATGGCCAGGAACCAGTATGAGGAAGGATTTCCAAAAAGTCCATGCAGAGCTATCTGGGAGACCGGGCTGGAAATCTTTGGATGCCGAATAGGAAAGAGCATGCCCCCCCGCCATGAGAAGCTGAGGTTCCAACCTTATAGACCAGATATAAGAAAGAAATGTTGAAGGTCCCTTCTTGGCTGCCAGGCCAACCTGGATATATAAGTCATTTAGGAACAAAATAGAAGAGAGTCAGGATAGTGGCTGGTCTAGTTTAAGGACTAGTTAGTCTAGTCCAGTCTTGCCCTGGTCTAGTCTAAGGACTAAGGTCTAGTTCTAAGGAATGCTTTATGATCATAAAACTGGACTTTTTTTCTTGATCCTTATAACTTCTCAAATGTTTGCCAGTTTTATTAACTCTGCTTACTCCTGTGTCCTTCCATGTAGTCCAACAGAGTAAATCCCATCAATGGAGAGGAGCCTATGTGCACCTGCTCTGAAGACAAAGAGGACTTGATTTCTCAGGGCCTCAGTTTCCCTGTTTATAAAATAAGGCGTTTGGACTGGATGGTGTCTGGGAGAATGTGAGTCTTTTCCATGTCTTACCCTTCCCTTACTGCCTTGTCCAGAGGAGGAGTGTGATCTGGGAGCCCTCCAGGTCTAATGCCCTAGACTCTACTGAAGACAGAGGGCTCCCCCTTGCCAGTCAGTTGGAATAGTGGCAGCAGATATGAGAAGAAGAGGAAGGTAGGCCAGCCCCTTAAATTCTGCAAGAATTCAAAGAGAACTGACCCAGATGCAAATGGGCACAGTGACATAACCATCTAGATTGGGTCTCCATGTGGTTTCCCAATAAATAATCTCATAGGTTGGTTAAAAGAGCATGGCTGCATGAAGGCAGGAATGAGCCAAGGAGCCTGATGAACAAACAAGCTTGGGGTTTTGTGCCCCAGGAAAAGCAACCTCTTCACACATACACAAATCCAACCTTTTTCCGTTGTAGCTTTTGCTTTTCCCTGAATTCTTCCATCTTCCTGGCCTCTTCTCTTAGAGTCTGGGCAAGCTGAATGTGACATTGGGCCACACTGTCTACTTCTGCAAAAAGAATTAAAAAAAAAACCAAGACAAAACAAAAAACAATACACAAGATCTACATATGTCTGAATTCAAATATACAAAACCGCACAAAATGTATGCACAAAATACTGGACCAAGGGGTAAAAATAACGTACTTCACTCGGTCACCATTTATTGAGTGCTTCCATGTGCCCAGCCTTGCCTTGGCCACCAAGACCAAAGCTAGGAAATCCTTTAGCTTAGCCTCCTACCACTGGCTGTCACTCATCTAGTGTGTGCCCAGGGCTGGACTGAAAAACAGCCAAGGCTCCAGCTCACGGAGCTTATGTGGTAGAAGATATCACAAAACCCACTATGATTTCAAATTCAATACTTATTTCACATTAGATGACTCTAATAGTCTTTCCATCTCTAACATGAGCCTGAGCATTTGTGAGAAAGGTCATACACGAAAATTTTGGCTATCAATAGTTACTTCTAGATAGAAAGACGACTGGTGATTTCTTCCCCTTATTTTCTAAGATTTTTGTAATGAGCATGGCTTATCTTTATAACAATAACAACAACAACAACAAAATTCTTATTTTACTTGTTCTAAGAAAACTAACTGAAGCATGGCATTAAAGCTAGAAAGACTGACAGATCTGACCTAAGAAAAAATTTTAAACTTGTGTGTGTCAAAACAGCCTTGAACAAGGTTCAAAGATACATAACAAATTGGAAAAACTATTAGTAACTTATATCAAAAAGAGTAAATAGCTATATAAAAGAACTTTTATGACTCAAAAGAAATATATACATATATATTCCATTATAAGAAACTGCTTAAAGAACATGATTTTTTTTAAAGATTGGCTAAATGGCCAATAAACATTTGAAAATGTATTCAGCCTTAAAGCTATTGAAGGAAATGTAAAACTTGAAACCACAGAATATATAATTTTTTGCTTTTAAGTTGGGGAAATTTTTTGAAGTGTGAAAACTCTTCATTTTGGCAAGCATGGGGAAAAACAGCACCTTTGGTGGAGGGAAAAATCAATACAACCTTTCTGGAGGAAGTCTGGCATTTTGTAAGATCAAAATTTTCTTTCTTTCTTTTTTTTTTTTTTTTGAAGATTTCATTTTTAAGTAATCTCTGTACCCAGTGTGGAGCTTCAACTCACAATCCTGTGAGATCAAGAGTCACATTCTCCACTGACCAAGCTAGCCAGGTGCCCCTCAGGACTTTCAAATGTGAAAGAATAATGCAGACCTATGTGAATTGAAATGGGAAGATGTTTAGATAATATTCAGAAAAAGAAATTGTAGAGAGCCAGGTATAGTATGATCTCATTCATACAAAAACTCATGTCTGTGTGTGTGTGTGTGTGTGTGTGTGTGTGTGTGTGTCTGCAATTTAAGAAAGAGAAGGAGAATTACAAATGCATAGAGAAAGGTCTAGAGAGATAACCTACCAAACTTCTAGCATGATTAAAACATTGATATTTTCAGGGGAACCTCGGTGACTCGGTTGGTTAAGCATCTGACTTTGTCTCAGGTCATGATCTTGGGTCCCTGAGGCCCAACGGGCTCCCTACTCAGCAGAGTCTGCTTGTCCCTCTCCCTCTGCCCCATCTCCTCCTTCTGCTTTCTCTCTCAAATAAATAAATAAAAATTTAAAAAGATAAAAAAAGAAGAACTGAACAGAAATTTTAGAAATAAAAAACACACTAATGGAGATAAAAAAAAAAACTCAGCGGATGGGCTTAAGAATGGAAGAGACAGGGGCATCTGGGTGGCTCAGTGGGTTAAGCCTCTGCCTTCGGCTCAGGTCATCATCCCAGGGTCCTGGGATCGAGCCCTGCATCAGACTCTCTGCTTAGTAGGGAGCCTTCTTCCCCCACTCTCTCTGCCTGCCTCTCTGCCTACTTGTGATCTCTGTCAAATAAATAAATAAAATCTTTTTAAAAATTGATATTTTCATTTCAAAATTGATTTTAAAACATAGGATCTGTCCTCACCTCATAGATTCTGTACCACTGAAACAGTATCATCCTATTTATTTATATGAATAGACATATTTGTGTATAATTTTAATTGCATTAAACATCTGGAGTCACATTCACCAATAACTGCTTATACTATGAAGTGAAAGTTCAAATGTTCATTATCTTCTCCATAGTTGTCTAACTAGTTAGTTGTTTGTTTGAATTTTAAGACAAATATATATAAATGTATGTTTTTTTTTTTAATAAGAAGGAAATAAACCTATTTTGGGGGGAAAAAGAAAATAAGTTAAGTATGAACAAGTTTATAGGCTTAAGAGACCCAGCCTAGGCTGAAGCTCCCTTGGCCCACATGTTTAGGCTTGTGGGGTATCTAAGAAACAAGAAACATAAAAAATATTTCCACCTGGAGAAATGTATTTATTAGTGTTTAAAGAGGGAAGAAGACACCTTCTATGGAAAAGTTAAGATGAATATCTATTTAGCTAATATTTACAAACATCTAGAACCAGTCAACTAGCTACAGAAACACTTTAAGCATATATCATGTCTACAGTGTCATGTTAAAATTGCTAGCTTGGAAGCACCAGGTATTGGGAAGAACAGAAAGCCTTAAAGGCACTTTCTGGGAATTGGCCTGGGGACTATTAGAACTGAAGTGGGGGGTGCCTGTCTGGTCAGTTGGTAGAGAGTACAACTCTTGATCTTGATCCACGACCATGAACTTAAACCCCATGTTGGGTGAAGAAATTACTTAAAAAAAAAAAAAAGAAAAAGAAAAGAAAAAGAAAAAGAAAAGAAAGGAAATGGGGACGACTAGGTGGCTCAGTAGGTTAAGCATCTACCTCCAGGTCAGGTCATGATCCCAGAATCCTGAGATGGGCCTCCCTGCTCAGCGGGGTGTCTGCTTCTCCCTCTCCCTCTGCCCCTCCTCCCCTGTTGTGTTCTCTCTTTCTTAAATAGATAAATAAATAAATAAATAGAACTGGACAGGACCCCTTAAAGGCCGAAGTGCCAGGGTCTCGCCCTGGATTTCAAGTGTGAGAACCGCTGCTCCAAGGGAGTCAAATGCACATCACGACACAGGGGTGTGAAGGATGGGTTCTCCTGCTCGTTTCAACTCTGCAGAGCTCCTTCTCACCTTGGGAGCTGCTCTAACTTTTTTTTTCACCCAATATGAGATCGCTGTTCAAATTAAAACCCACTTCTGGGACAGACAGACTCAGCACTTGCCAGGGCCAGCAAACACAGTTTAGAGAATCACTTACGCTGCTTGAAGACCTCCAGGGCCCGCTTCAGGGTGCTAAAAAACAAGCACATGCATAGTTTCAGTTCTGGAAACTGGCTGTGCAATTTCATAATGCCACCACACGCTTCTCTCTGCCTGAATCTCACGGCCTGCCAGCTTAACTCTTCCTGTGAGCTTGGGAAGACCACAAAGGATCAAGACTTTGGCCGTTCACTTTCCTCTTTCTCACTCTCTCAATCCCAGGCATAAGCTTCTCCACTGTCCACCCGGGTAGAGCAAGATGCCAAAATTCCTTATGCTTTCTTTCCCCCAATGGTATCATAGGAGTTATGGTCCCTTTCTCATAAGAATACCAGTCCTTCTTTAAGGTATGATCATTAGAAATATGGATACAAGCCAGTAAAGGAAGGGTTCAAACTCTGGCTCCTGATTGCCCCCTATTTCCATTCATCAACCATGTGCTCCTTGAACATAAACTATCAGTCACATATTGTGGCAGATGTTAAAGATTCAATGGTACAAGACAGACATGGTCCCAGACCTCAGGCTCTAATGGGGGAGACACTAAACACATTGCATTAGTGTTCCATTGCTGAATAACAAATTACCACAAATTTAGCAGCTTAAAACAACAGACATTTATTACCTCACAGTTTTGGTGGGGAAAGACCCTGACTCATTTTTCACACCTTCTCTTGATCTATCCCCATCCTCTTTATAGCCCATGGCTCCTCCACCTGGCGAGACCCCCTTGCCTGTGGTTTGAGTTTTCCCCCATCCTACACTTCTTAAGTAAACCTTCTGAGGTCACTTGGCCCTGGAAATATTCTTACTCATGCTGCCTTCATAGAAGCAGATCTCACTGGGCTCAGCCAGGCCCCTCAAGTAGGAATGGAACTTTGTGAATTCACCGTCCCCCAGCCCCACAGCATAAGATCATGGATCACTTCCTGTATGTATATATGTGTGTAGTAAGTTTTGTTACTTTGCAAAGTAAAAACCCTTGTCTTTTGCAGCTGACCACATATTCTAGCTCTTTCGCTTTTGCTGCTCTGTTCATTTATCCCAAAAGAGAGGATTCTTCTTTCTCCATGTCTTTTCTCACACAAATATTTCCAATTATTACAAAGACATCCAGCAGAAAAACATAACTGCACATTCTCCATTCACTTTACCCATCTAATGATACGAACACAGTGTACTAGAAAGTATCCCATTGGACAAATGTGCCAGTGGTCCAGAAGGACGAATGAGCTTCACAAAGCGCAGACTTACTACTGGCATTAGTGAGACACGCAGAGGGATATGGCAGCAGGTACAACCAGAAGTCTTTCTCGATGGGGAGTCGTGGAGCTGAAACCCTGCCTTACCCATAAATTGTTCAGGGTGTAAAATTTTTCTCCCACCTGAAGGGCCACTAAAAGGGCAGTTCAAATAGCTCTTTCATTTGTCATTAACATTGTTGCCTCATATCATCACTTAATTGCTATTTCCCTTGTTCAGGGGATGATGACAATCCAGAGACAGAATCGGAACCTTGGGGATGGTGGCCCAGCAATGTCGTCTCCATTCTTCCCTAGGGTTCTTCATTGTGGAAAGAGAAAATATCCTACCACCCTTTACATAAGCGCTTTGGCCTTAAACCCTAATGCAGCCCCTTAGAGACCCGAGTCTCTCCATGTGGTCCAGGAGATGGAAAAATCCAACTAGTCCACGTAGAAGCAGAGTCTCGCGCTCTTATCCAGGGCCCCTTCCTAAAGATCATCCTGGAGGTACCAGAAACATAAGTCACCTAAATAACCTTCCGTGTCAACCGTGGAGACACCATTGCCAGGAATCATTCCCCATTGCATCTTTCTCTCCGAGCTACACTCTTAGAAAGAACACTGACTGGCTTTTGTCACAGAACAGAGAGAACAATGCAGAGGCTCTCTATGAATCTGTTAAGTTAGAGGTCAAATGTGTATGAATATAATAAATATCATTTTGGATCAGGGCGCCTGGGTGGCTCAGTTCGTTAAGCGTCTGACTCCTGGTTTTGGCTCAGGGCCTCATCTCAGGGTCCTGGGATCAAGCCCTGCACCGGGCTCCCTGCTCAGCAGGGAGTCTGCCTGAGATTCTCTCTCTGCCTCTTCCCCCAATGCTCGTTCTCTCACTTCCTCTCTCTCAAAATATTTAAATATTTTTAAAAATATATATCAATTTGGGTTAGACTCCTTCTGCTAAATGTCGAAGAGCTCGATAAATATCAATGCAGGAGTCCATATGACTGCCCATGAAGCCACCAGCCCTGTAGATGAGAGGCAGTGTGTCCTAAGGCCAGATCTTTATTCAGAGAATGACAGAAAAATAAATCATCGTACAGAAACCTCACATCAGTGGTGAGAACTATAAAATGGCGCAAAGACCATCTCTCACAGTTGTCACAAACAGCATGCGCGCACGTGCCTAAGCCCCTCTATTAAATGTCTAGTATAAAATTAATATAATCCTCCCTATGAAACAGTATACATAGAAAAAGACTTCAAATTAAATCTAGAAGGTTTTACTAATGGGTCGTGTCTTCATAGTTCATTTGAGACTTCTTTCTATTTTTCTGTATTTTTCACAACTGGAAATAAGGAGGGGGAACAATTATAAACTGTTTCACCCAAAACACATCACCCCATGAGCCAGCTCTGTCTGCTGAAGTGATGGGGGCTCCCGGGAGTACTGGTTGACCAGGAATCCAGAACGAAGCGTGGCACCTACTTGATCTCCGACTGTCCACAAGGCTTCTTCCTGGAGAGGCTGAGAAGGTCTTTGCCATACTTCTCTTCAATTGATGCCCTGAGGGGAACAGAAGAGAGAGCTCCGAGTCCTTCTTGGGGTTGATTCTTAGTTAAAACACATGGCACTCCCCTTGAGGGCAAAACTGCACCTCTGACAGGAGAAGCTCAGATATAAACCAGTCTCTAAAAGGCAGAACTCCCTCTACCCAACCAGAAGAACTATGAGAAGACCAGTGGCCTTCACCTCTAAGTCACCAGCATGGACATCACAGCAAAACCAGACACAGCCCCTTGACCAGCACAGGCTAGGACATTACAGACTAACTATTTAAAACTATGACCCAAGGATTATTTGCCAAAAATTGATTTTTATTTATATTTATATACATATACTTAAGTGGAATAAGATATTTCCACAAAATGCTGCACTCCTGAGGCTCACCCCTCCTCCCATGTTCTCGAAGAGTATCCCTTTAACCATCCTATAGAGTTCCTCATTCATAGTCAATTCAAAGATGTAGCTAAACTGCAGCAATGAGAGGGAAATTTCAGAATACAGGCTCTGCAGTTGGCAGGTCTCACAAGAACAACTGATTGTTACTTGGTGCAGCATGGCCTGTCTACTGTGCCAAATATCCCCATTCCCCATCCATTATGGTGTCCCAGGGATCATAACAAGTACACTGTACCAGATTCCAGGACCCAACTTTCCTAGGTTTGAAACCAGATCTATCCTTTCTTCGTTGTGTGACCTTAGACAAGTTACATAACCTCTCTGAGCCTCAGTTTCTTCTGCTGTAAAATAAGGATGATAAAACTCACCACACAGGGTTAGTAGGAGAATGAATGAGATAATGTATGCAAAATATATGGTAGTTTATATGTGTATTGGCAAGCCTTCATTAAGTGGCAGCTAGTAACATAGTCTCATTTAGTTGCCCCTAGCTACTGGCTGCAGGGTCATGATCCTCATTTTTATATTCGTTTCCTGCTCTTATCAGGAGCTTGGTATATAAGCTGGCCCCACCGGGTTCTATGGGTGAGAGAGTCCACAGACTAGAGAAACAAGGGACAAAATAGGTTCATTTCCTTCTTAACCAGTGGAAGACCTCAGACTGGAATGTTCTATAGAATGCTTCCTAAAAGGAAGAAGGAGGTAGGGGAGGTGGAAGAGGGGATAATGTTCAGGGGAGAAGAAAAGAAGGTGGGGGGAATTTGACCTGGACTTTGAAGGATGGGGAGAATTCACTTAGGCATCAGGGAGAAGGGAGGACATCCAGGTGGGAAATATCGGAGTAAAGATGTACAGGCAGAGACCTCCAAAGCATACTAATCAACTCTGGCTGGCCTAGAGAGAGTGGCTGTACTGAGTGAGAATATATGAAACAGAAAGAAAAGGAAGGGAAAGAACAGTTCTGCACAAGGAACAAGCACATCCTCCCGGAAGGTCACCTGCCCTTCTGCCCAGAGCTGATGAGTCATAAACACACGTTCTCTGTGTGTGAGGCCTCTGAAGCTGCCACTTTGTAAGTTCCCTTGGTAAGCTAATTACCCAACTTCATTTGTTTTTTTTGTTTTTTTTTTTTTTTTAAAGATTTTATTTATTTATTTGATAGACAGAGATCAGAAGTAGGCAGAGAGGCAGGCAGAGAGAGAGAGAGGAAGGGAAGCAGGCTCGCCGCTGAGCAGAGAGCCCGATGCGGGGCTCGATCCCAGGACCCTGGGATCATGACCTGAGCCGAAGGCAGAGGCTTAACCCACTGAGCCACCCAGGCGCCCCACCCAACTTCATTTGAAAAGCTACTCTTCTGGGGCGCCTGGGTGGTTCAGTTGGTTATGCACTGACTCTTGGTTTCGTCTCAGGTCATGATCTCAGAGTCCTGGGATGGAGCCCTGAATCAGGCTCCCTGCCCAGCGGGGTGTCTGTTCTCCCTCTCCCCCTTCCCCCTGCTTGTGCACCATGCTCTCTCTCTCATGCACATTCTCTCTCAAATAAATAAATAAAATCTTAAAAAAAAAAAAGATTATCTCTTTCTCTTGCCCTCACCAACTTGTGCATTCTCTCACGCTCTCTTAAAAAAAACAACTAAATAAAGTTGAATAAAATAATAGGACAGTGATATTTGTAAAACTTTTGTTTTATGCATGTGTGTACTAGGTGGCAGTGTAAAATTTTTTTATTATTTCTTTCTTCTTTAAAAAAACTTTATTTTTTTCTTTTTATTTTATTTCTTCTGAGTGTTTCATTTAAAAAAACAGGTGGACATCCCTGATTTCCATCACCATCCTCATTGTGTCAGGGGTCTCTTGGGTCGTCCTGCCTGGGCAACAGAAGCTTCGGTCAGTAGCCAATGCCTCCTCATGGGTGTATGGCGAGGCTAGTTCCTTCCCGAGAAAATGTATAAAAGTTCTTCCTGGAGGAGGAACTCAAAAAGCAAGGGACGTTCTGGAATCTGTGTATCTTATTGTTGTGAAATGCCTGTTTGCTGCTACCTTGTCAGAGCTCTGCTGGAGAAAGGAGGAAGCCCACCTCCTATGCCCATCAGGAGAAAGGAACACTGTAAGTTGGTGTGACCACTGTCAACCAGCTTGGGTAGAAGAGGGAGGCTGGTCCCTCAAAGGAGGTGGTACATGGCCAGCTCCCTGGAACCTGAGGGTTGGTGGACCTCTCTTCACCCAACCCTCCAGCCAGGGCTCCAGTTCCCTGGGGACCTTCAAGGGGGCAGACAACCGTAGAAGTGTGACGTTACCCACTGTTCTCTTGAGTAGAAAATAGAAACACTTAATGGAAAAACATGTTGACGTCTGGATCTCCAAGTTATAAACCTCTTATTCAGTGTGATACAAATAGAATCTGTTCACTAGTTTGGGTCCCAGCAACGACCTCAAACTTGGGCCAAAAATCCCTCCTAGGTGCTCCTTCATCCAGAATCACTGGGAAACTGAGTATTCTGCTGGGATAAGATTTTCCATAAAACTAACTTACCCCACTAAGTATGGAATTTTTTTTTTAAAGTCCTATCCATTAAAAAAAGAAAAGGAAAGGAAAAGTCCTCTAAACTGGCCTGGCCCACCCTAAACACCAAGCCCCCCGCCCGCCAGGTTGCTGCGACCCACCGCCATCTTTCTCACAGCTCTGTGGCCCATCCCAGCCTCTGAATCAGCTAAGTTTTGCTCTTCTCCCACAGACATGAGGCTACTTCTCCATCTATGAAATCCACACCGCACTCCGAGGGCCCTCAAAGGTCCTGTCTGTCCCCCACTGGACTGACCAGTCTTTCACAATCTCCCTTTCCCATGAGGTTTTTAGTGCCACCCCTATCACTTCACTCCGCATTTTACGATATTTTGTGCGCTGCTTCATTCCTAAATCTCCTCTGTCACTGATTTCTAAGAGCTCTAGGACAGAAATAATCATTTACTTCTTGGGGACCATCCCACAAGCTACAGCAGAGGGCCTGTGGACCCCCAAAGACAAACAAAGTGTAAATGATTCCTTTGAATGGGAGGGTTTTTTCTCCCCCTCCGTCTTCGAGGAAGAAGAGCAGGTACCTCTCTTTCAGGAAGTCTTCAAACTCTTTGCAGTTCTTGCGGCCATTGTTTAGGTGCTGGATGAGGCAGTCGTAGCCCGCGGTGCTGAGGATGTCCGTGCTCTGGTGAGAAACAACATGGCATCAGAGCGGGGACCGTGAGGATGGCAGTCCCAGGCCTAAAGAGCGCACGGGGCCGAGAGCAGGGGGGAGGCCGGCAGTGGGAAGTTTCAACACACTTCACCTCCAAGACAGATATGACCAAAGAGGACGAAATAGAAGACATAAGCGTGTTTGCAGCTATGGGAGAACTGTCAAAGTTAGGAAGGGGAAGGGCCACGAAACAGAAAGTGACGGGACAGAGAGATCACATGGACGAGAGGGCTGGCCGGGCTCTGTCCCTCTCTGTGCCCCCACCCAGAACTGGGACCAGGGCTACATAGTTTTCCCTTTATCCTTAAACTCATCACAGAGCTTGACACGGATGTCCCTTCCCACAAACAATAAGCCTGATGTGCCGGGTGAGGGTTGAGGGTATCCCTGCAAAGGGCAAGCAGCTCTGAGCCAGGAGCCAGGCCCCAGGAGCCGAGAGGGGGCCCACTGCCCACTGGGAAACATGAAGGGAACCAGCATGATCCATCACAGGGTCACTGGCTGGCCCCAGCTGGTGATGGGTGGTGGCAGGGAGAGGATTTTTTTTTTTTTTTCATTTTAAATTAGCAATTTATACCTATTTGATTCTACTGTGCACTGGGAGGTTGGAGGAAGCTACCTTAGTCCCCAAAGCAGCAGCCCCAGAGGCAGTACATTTTTTAAATCAAAGTCCCTCAGCCCCTCAAACCAACCAGTCAGGGGCTCAAGAATATCCCCTGAAGTGTCCCCTAATGAGGCTGGTTACCTCATTAGGTAGCTGGCTGCTACCTCCACATGCATACAACAAGCTGCCTGATTCAGGCTCCAGGCCCTTAGGGAGGTTAGTTGGTTGCCCCTGGGTGTGCCCTGAGGAGCTCTGAACTCACCCACCCCTAGCCCAGCCCAGGTGACCACCCCTTCCCAGGTCCAGTCAGCGGAAGGGGGTACCACTCTGCCATTGGTGGTGACTGGGGGCTCCTGAAGACACCCCTCTACTCATCCCTGCGCACCAGAGAAGCAGAATTTCTCTCTTCCATTTGCTGCCACTTACACTGGGTCCCTCGAAGACAGGGTCCCAGAGAGATCCCGCAGGACCTAGGCTTGAGGCTGATTCTAACATGGCATTCAGAAACCTCACTGGGCAAAATTCACACTGCATTTTTAAAGATGGATTATTGGGGCACCTGGGTGGCTCAGTGGTTAGGCCTCTGCCTTCAGCTCAGGTCATGATCCCAGGGTCCTGAGATTGAGCCTCATGTCGGGCTCTCTGCTCAGTGGGAAGCCTGCTTCCTCCTCTCTCTCTGCCTGCCTCTCTGCCTACTTGTGATCTCTGTCTGTCAAATAAATAAATTAAATCTTAAAAAATAAATAAATAAATAAAAGTAATGATCTAAGCCTTCACTTAATGGAAGTAGGAAAAAAGAATGAAAGAAATCTATAGTAAGTAGAAGGAAGGAAATAAAAATAGTGGAACACAAATAAAATAAAAAATAAAAATAGTGGAACACAATGACACAGAAATGGACAAATAAAAAGTGTTCGTGAAAAATTGTTTACCTTCACCTGGAAATTCAAATTAAAGTCACAGTAATATCTACTTCATGCCCATGCCCACTAAAATAGCTAAAATTAAAAAGTCAACATTGAATGTAGGCAGGAATGCTGAACTATGAGAACTCTCATACCTTGCTGATGGGAATGTAAAAATGGTACATTTTTAAAAGTAGCAAATTCTCAAAAAGATAAATATATACATACCCCATGACCCAAAGTTCCACCCATTTTGTATTTACCCAAGTGAAATGAATACATATGTCCACAAAAAGACTTGCACGAGAATCGTCGTAGGAGTGTTAGACCCAATAACCCCAAACCGGAAACAACCCAAATGTCTAACAACTGATGAATGGCAAACGATGTGTGTTAAGTCCATACAATGGGATAATACTCAGCGGTAGAAAGACAGAACTACTGATCCATGAAACCACCTGGATGGATCGCAAGGTCATGCCAGTGAAAGATGCGACACAAGTATTTACTGTGTAATGTTACTCACAGGACATTCTAGGACAGGCACTACTAGGACATATTTCTTGGTAAAAGAGATAAGAGTGATTGCCTGAGCCAGGGGAGAAAATGAGGCTGGAGTGGGAAGGGGCCCTCCAGGAATTTCCTGGAACAATGGAAAAACATACACCCAAGTGACCCACATTCCTATCAAGATCATTCCATAGAGAAGTGTGGGCTGTACAGGTGTAGGCAGTTTTCGAAACTCACTGACCTATGCATTTTATCTTATGTAAATTATGCCTCGATAAAATTAAAAGGCAAAAAAAAAAATGCTTTAGGATTCAGAGGGAGAATGGGCAGGAGGAAATCAGTAGAACGAGTAGAGGCAGCTCCGCCTTAGATGTGGACCTGGCCTTGGAGTCCTGGGTGAGGCAGGGAGATAAGAAGGGAGAGCGGATCCAAGCACCCAACAAACCTCCCCAAGCCCCAGAACTCGAGGTTTCATGATGCTCAAATCACAGAGAGGTAAACAGCATTCAAGTCTCAATCAATGGGTTAGTACTTAAACCACAAAGACATTTCAATTTCCTGAAGACAAAAAGTTGTCCGATCCAGCAGTGAGCTCATGGGTGCCACATCAGCAGACGCATGAACCAGAGAATAGTACCAACATTCTCGTGAGCATGGCAGCAGGCGGTCTGGACCAGGTGGGGCTCTGGGTTCCCGAAGGAGGGCGTGTCTGTGGGCTGCCTGGTGGAGGGTGACTCCACTACCCACCAGCTCCCCGCCCCAGATATAACACTCAGGTCTGATTCTGCTCACTTGGTCCCGGCACATCCAGGTCTCCTTCCTGCCCAGAGCTGAGCCCCCAGCTGCAGGGGCCTCTGAGAATTTGTTTCCAGACTCCCTTCCCACCATGGGGCCTATCGGCAGAAGGTATAAAGGCAGAGGGGAAGCAAAGAGTACCTGTGGCCTCCCAAGCTGCCATCCAGGTTACAGGCACTGAGGCCAGGGTGTCCCCACGTCTGGTTCTGTGCTGCATCTCTCTCTCTCTCATGGTGTCTGCTACACACAGTTTCTCTACACAGGGGCTCCAAGGCCGCCCTGTGCCAGAATCCTCCCAGCAGACCCCCAGGTCCCACCCAGACCTCCAGGTTCTGAGCTTGGGGAATCTCCATTTTTTGCATTCCTTCCAAGTGACTTTCTGCCGCTGGAGAACTGCCGCCACAGAAATGATGAAAGACAAGAGAAGATCTGGGATCCTGAACAGAGGAGCGGAGCATGGAGGAAAGCAGGACGCAGGAAACTAGAGAACACGGCAGACGAGGGAGGCAGGAGAACCACGGCCGGAAACGGGCGTGGAGAAGAGGGAAGGGAAAGACTCCACGGTTCGAGCTTCATTTTGAAACCTCTTTCAGTAAAAACCGTGAATGGGTGCTGATGCCTCTAGGAGGGGGTGGGGCCGCTGACCTTGCGTTCAGTACAAAGGCTGCATTTGTCTGCCACCTGGGCATGTGACACAGACGCCTGCCACACTTTGCATTATTGGTCCACCACACGTTCCATAAACACAGCGAGGCGAGAGCTATTTCCATGTTTCACAGCTGGAGAAAACAGGGCGCTAGGAAGTGATGGTCTCCTGATCACTGTCTCCAACGACAATGAAAGATTTTAACCCTTAACCGACAATATTATCCAAATCTCTGCCATTCATGAAGAGTTACACAGCAACAGTAGACATGGGATACAGACCAAGGCATTCCTGTTACCTCCCTAGGCTCTCTGCCTGGACCTTGCTTTCCTACTTACTTTCCTGTCTCTTATACCCAAAGAGGTAAAACCAGATGGTTCAAACTCACCTTATCAACAAATGTGGATTAATTATTATTAATTAATATTAAAAATTAGGTCCAATATACATTGCATGCTTGCTGTATTCCAAAGAGCATACTGACTATCGTGCATGCAATGTCCTGGGTAATCTTTGAAACAGCCCTGTGACACGTGTATCATTCTTATCTTCGTTTACAGGACAAGAAACTGAGGATCAAAGTCTATATTCGTAAACCACTCAACCACACAGCTTCTCTTCCTGGAGGACAAGGAGCATAGCTAACTTTCTGTCAGTCCACTTCCCAGCAAGTCTAAAGATTTTATTTTTAAGTAATCTCTACACAGAATGTGGGGCTCCAACTTAAAACAGATCCAGAGGCGGAGCCAGCCAGGCGCCCCGCCCCCACCTAGCAATTCTCCGTGGGCACACCCAGGCTTTCACGCCCACTTGGGTTTGAGTTCAAATTCTACTGCACCAGGGCGCCTGGGTGGCTCAGTGGGTTAAGCCGCTGCCTTCGGCTCAGGTCATGATCTCAGGGTCCTGGGATCGAGTCCCGCATCGGGCTCTCTGCTCAGCAGGGAGCCTGCTTCCCTTTCTCTCTCTCTGCCTGCCTCTCTGTCTACTTGTGATCTCTCTCTGTCAAATCAATAAATAAAATCTTTAAAAAAAAAAATATTCTACTGCACCAGCTGTATGACCTTGGGCTGAGCGCTCAGTCTCCCTTCGTGTGAATTTACATGGCTGTAAAATTGGGGAGTATTGTAAGGCTCAAACAAGATACTGTGCCTTGAGTTTGTCAAGTGCTTCATAAACTAAAGGAATGAAGGGAGACACATTCAAATTTCTCAAGACCAGGCCACGGGAATAAAAAGCATATGGATTCAGACCTGTGTGAACTTTTTCCTTGAAAGTGGACCACAGTGAAATAAATGTAGCCTGTGAGCTATTCAAAAATAACTATGTCATCATCAGAGGAAGCAGCTGGAAAGGTGTCAGAGGCTATAGAAACGGCTGTTTTCAGCCATGTGTTCCTAAAGCCCAAAGTCAGAATCCTGTCATGGTTGTGTCATTAAGCCCTCTTGTAAGCCATCACAGGGGACACTGAGACAAGAATGAACCCCACCTCAGTTCCCACCCCAGCTGGGCT